GAAGCATCTTGTCAAAGACATTGGAGCAGCCGAAACTTTCTGTGATGGGGCTTGGGTTTTTTGATGCATTTCTATGCGCCGGCTTTGAACATGTTAAGGAGGCCACAGCCTTGCAGAATGGATCTGCTGGAGATGATTGGTTTACCTGGGGAGCAGCCTGTTCATGCAAGCAGGAGTTGAATGTAAGAGTGTGCTCGGCTATGAAAATTTAAATCGAGAGAACATAAGGAGGCCATCACAGAGGCCACCAATGATGAGGTTTGGGCGGCAACCTGTTCAAAATACATGTCTGCGAGTGGACTAGCTGAAGTACCATCTTCAAAGAACTTTTTTCTAATAAGGAAGCCATGCCCCTCCAGAATGGATCGGCCCAAGATATTGAGGAGGAAGAGGTTTGGGCAGCAGCTTGTTCAAAATTGTCGTAGCTGTATACGCACTTGTACACCCCCCCCCCCCTTGGAGATGTTCTTGCGAAAAGCTAAGGAAGCCAGAGCCGTGGAAGATGGAGACATGGAAATTTCCCATGATGGGGTCTGGGGAGCAGCCTGCTTAAACATTTAAACAAGCAAGATTCTACGCAATTCTACGCCATATAAGGAACCAACAGCAGCAGAAAGTGATCAGCCGGAGATTCAGGTCACGAGGCTTGGGGAGCCTCCTGTTCCAAGAAGTGTGCTGTGCAGCGATGGGGCTTGGGCAGCCTGTCCAAACAAGCATGGGGGCATTTTTATGTGCTGGCTTTGAACACTATAAGGATCCTTACGAAGCTACAGCCATGCAGAACCAAAGACGTGGATCTGGTAATGGTCATTGGGGCGTAGCCTGTCGAAATAAGCATAATGGTAACAGTTGAAAACACCCTGGCTTTGAATTTGTTCTTCCGAAAAACTAAGGATGCCAGCGCGCTGGAAAATAATGGACACACTGATGTTTTCCGTGATGGGGTTTGGGGAGCAGCCTGTTCAAACAAGCACGTGCCATTTGAACATTACTTCGCACATACTGGATTTGCAAATGCTGTCATGACAATAAGGAACCGACATCCGTGCAGAATGGACCAGGTGAAGCTTCTGGTGATGGTCTTTGGAACGCAGCCTGGAAGAAACATGCTTGTCGTAACAGTACTGGCATCTTCTTTTTTGAACAAACTATATGAGGAATCCGCCGCCCTGGAAAGTGCAAACGCTGAAGTTTCCCACGGTGGGGTTTGGGGAGCAGCCTGTTCAAACAAGCATGGATTTAAATTTGGGTCATTTGAATATTAATTCGTACATGCTGGATTTGAAAATGCTCTGTCATTAAGGAAGCTACATCGGTGCAGAACCGAAGAGGTGGATCTGCTGATGGTCGTTGGGGCAATGGAGACACGGAAGTTTCTGGTGATGGGGTCTGGGGAGCAGCCTGTTGAAACCAGCATGCCTTTTGTGAACATGCGTACATGCTGGATTTGCAAATGCTGTCATGACAATAAGGAACCGTCATCCGTGCAGAATGGACCAGGTGAAGCTTCTGGTGATGGTCTTTGGAACGCAGCCTGGAAGAAACATGCTTGTTGTAACAGTACTGGCATCTTCCTTTTGAATAAACTATATAAGGAATCCGCCGCCCTGGACAGTGCAGACGCTGAAGTTTCCCATGGTGGGGTTTGGGGAGCAGCCTGTTCAAACAAGCATGGATTTAAATTTGGGTCATTTGAATATTAATTCGTACATGCTGGATTTGAAAATGCTCTGTCATTAAGGAAGCTACATCGGCGCAGAACCGAAGAGGTGGATCTGCTGATGGTCATTGGGGCAATGGAGACACAGAAGTTTCCGGTGATGGGGTCTGGGGAGCAGCCTGTTGAAACCAGCATGCCTTTTGTGAACATGCGTACATGCTGGATTTGAAAATGCTGTCATGACAATAAGGAACCGACATCCCTGGAGAATGGACCAGGTGAAGCTTCTGGTGATGGTCTTTGGTACGCAGCCTGGTAGAAGAAGCATGGATGTTTACCCGTTGAGGTATTAGTGTTCCAGATGTTTTCTGAAAACACTGCAATAAGGAACAAATGGCCCCGGAAAGCGCAGACGGTCAAGTTTGCCATGATGATGATGATGCGGTTTGGAGAGCAGCCTGTTTAAACTAGCGGGTAACATTTGAACACGATAAATGTGCTGGAGCTTTGACGATGCTCTGTCAAGGAAGCTACAGACACGCAGGATGGACCAGGTGAAGCTGCTGGTGATGGTCTTTGGAACGCAGCCCGTTCAAACAAGCCGCATGCATGTTGTTCCAGTTGACATATTATACCCAAGAGATATAATAAGGAAGCCACGGCAAATGGAGCAGCGGATGACGTGCCTGATGGGGTTTGGGGAGCAGCCCGATCAAACAAGCGTTCTTGTTTAAAAATGTATTCTGTGGTTGCCTTTGAACTTTTGCTGGCTTTCAGAATTTTGGGTGCACATGCTTCGACTTGATCTCAAAAGCTGAGGACAATGACTCAACGGAGCATTGCCGCGATCAGGCCGCGCCTGGTCAAAACAATCTGTTCTTTGAAGCCTTGCTGTGTTTGTTACGGTGATCCTGCATTTGAAGCCTTTCCCTTTCAAGTCTTGCTGATGATCTATAATCTAAGGAGTCTGTGAAGAATCGCACAGGCGATGAAGGCGAAGAAGGTGATGGTTGTTGGGCACCCTGGTCAAAACTAGCTACATATTGGGCCTTTGAGGGGGGCTTCGGATTTGGAATATGGTTTAGTGTTCGCGGTTGCACACATTAAAGGGTTCAAGTCCTGAATTGCAAGGTTTGTTAATTGGAACCTTTCATGTGTGTGTTTTGTAAAACATTACCTGTTGTGCGCGCTGCATGGTCATGTATATAAGGAGGCTGCCGATGGGATGGACGATCAAGCCCAGCAGGCAGATGATCTTGCCGGAGTGGCAGCTTGTTAAACATGTGTGCGCCTAGTGGATTTGTGGTCATCTATAAGGCAGCCGCTCGTTTGGACAATGGGGCGGGAGCCTATGATTGGGACGCATCTCGTTGGAAAATGTGTCTGCTTTGAGAAGCTCCGATCTGGGACTTGCTATTGATGGTGATGTTGTAAAGGCATGTTCTTGCGTGCGTCTGCTGATAAGGAAGCCGATGGTATGCCTGAGAAAGCCTCTGGCAATGGCGGCGCATCTTGTTGGAGGGTAAGGGATTTTCCTTGCGAATGCCTTTGCTTGTTGTTCTGAATTCGTGGTACAAAACTCTAGACGTCTTTGATGGTAAGGAGGTTCCACAACAAGCTGACAAGATGTTGGAGACTGGGGCCAACGCCTGGTTTGTGCCTTGCCAAAAAGTCTGCGTCGTGTGTTCTAACTTTTGTTCTAGTTTTGGGTGGCCGGTGAAAGTGTTTTTGATTGGACTACACATGATGTGTTTTGTTAATCTAAAATGAGGCTGGGGACCCACGATGGGTGAGATTCCTGGAGGGCGGCAACCATATCCCTCCCGAATTTCTTTTTGCGGCACATTGTCTGCAAAATATTATTCTTGGGAAGCCAAATTATTGGGGTCCGGTTTTGCAAGACAAGTCATCTCAGGAGAATGCTATTCATGGTGGCGAGCATGAAGAAGATGTTTGCCAGAGTCAGGCCTGCTCAAAAGTGTGTATACGGTTCTGTTTTTTGCGTTCACCTGCTTCTGACATGCGCATGTATGCATGTGGACATGATCAAGGATGATGAGACTCAGCATTACAGCCCAGATGATCTGGATGGTTATAGCCCAGATTTCCTGGTCCGCAATGTGTCTCGTTCTAATATGGATTCAAAATTATCAAGGTGGTTTCATGCTGGCCGGACTGCAACATGTCTGTGGGGATTGTTCCGCTTCGGTCCATCTGAGGAGATTGCTTTTGCCGAAGGAGCGGAGGATGCTTGTTTTGGCTTGTTCAGAAACCTGTGTACATGTGACGCGAACATGTTAATGCGCTAAGGGTACAAATGAAACCTGATCATGTTTCTGTCTGAGGATGAAATGGAAGAAGACATCCCATGGGAAGATGGCCGTGATGCCTTCTACCCGGAGCGAGAGGAAGATGAGGAAAGTTGAGTGCCCCTGCATGCATGTATGTCAAATTGTCACTGTGAGGAGCAGTGGGCCCGAGAAGCCCTGGAACGTGCCGCCGAGGCTCGAGTCTGGCCCTGCTAGAATTGATGTTCATGTGTTTCTTGCCGAGGCCCCTCCAAGCTCTGGTCCCACCTTAGGCGAGGAGGAACCTCAGCCAAATTATACCGCCTGCAAGTGTTGAGCTAAACTGAATGGGTATATATTTCTGTCTAAGGACCAGGAGTCAGAAGGCAATGAGACCGGCGATCCAAGCAGCTCCACGGGCGGTGAGGATGTATACAATTCATGTTGAGCAAATATTAATTGAAGTTGCTATGTCACAGATCATTCAGGACAATTTCCAGCATGAGCCCGAGGAGCCTCATGAAGCCGAGGAGGCTGTGCCTTTTTCATAATTAAGACGTTCTGCGCGTGCCACATCAAAGTTGCTGCATCACACCCCATTTCATTCAGGACGACGTTCTGTATGAGGCTGAGGGGCCTCATGAAGTTCCTTGTTCGTAATTAAGAGATTGTGTGCGCGTGCCACATCAAAGTTGCTGCGTCACACCCCATTTCATTCAGGACGACGGTCTGTATGAGGCTGAGGAGCCTCATGAAGCCCCTTATTTGTAATTAAGAGATTGTGTGCGTGCCACATCAAAGTTGCTGCATCACACCCCATTTCATTCAGGACGACGGTCTGTATGCTCATGAGGCTGAGGAGCCTCATGAAGCCCCTTATTCGTAATTAAGAGGTTGTGCGCGTGCCACATCCAAGTTGCTGCGTCATAGATCCCCATTTCATTCAGGAATACTTGGAGTATGAGGCGGCGCCCTATGCCGCGTCTTGTCCAAAATAAGTTGTTGTTTTGTGTGCCTTGCTAGTTGATTGGATTGTGTTCGAACTGGTTCAGGATTCTGATCACGAGGGCGATGATACCGAGCCCGCCGGACCTGTTTCTTGCCTGCATGTGTTTGATGAGATCCAAACTTTTCAAGGAACTGCGCAAGCATGCATGGGACCTAGGTGAGCGGCAATCGTCGCCTGGACGAGCCGCGTTCGTTCACGATGGACGTGGACGGCATCGCGGAGAAAACTGCCGAGGCCATTTATCCGTCCATCCTAGCAGGAAGCCACGTGCCCATCAATCCGACACGCCAGCGTTTGCTGGCTGCACATGTGAAGGCCGTGGCGAAAGTAAAGGCCAAAGCGGCAAAGCAGAAAAAAACAGGACAAAAGGTTGCCGCCAAAAGCAAAGCAAAGCCGAAAGCAGCCGCAAAAAAGAAACCGGCCAGCAAAACCCCCTATACGGCCGCAAAGGAGAAGTTCCTCGCAAAGCTTCCGGATTGCAATCAGACATGAGTTGATCAACCATGGCTCATGCTGTACATCACTTCTTGTGACATCATCTTAGGTTGCCGAAGGGCATGCCGCGGGCCGAAAAGGAAAGGAGATGGAAAAAGAGCGGAGCGCTCTGCTTCCTTGGAGGGTATGTCGGCTTCTGAAAAGAAACGCCGAAAGTTTGACTGAGCAGAGTGCTGGCGCCAGCGCAGGGAAAGGGATCTCCAACGCTTGCATGTGTCGCTGGGTTGTTCTCAGAATTATGGGCCCGATTTTGGTTATAGGGTACATGGCGCCTAATAACATCTATAGATGAAAGAGGCACCAAAAATGGTCCCTACTTTTGGGAACTACCCTTTGCTTGCATGTTATTCATGTTTCCACCGTGCACAGACCCATGCAGCTTGACCAACCATTCTGTGATCATTTGGCTGTGAGATTTGTTTTGTATGGCGAGTGACATGGAATTTTTTGCTGGGGTAGGGGATCCCAGTCACTGCCGTGGGGTTCTGGTCGATCCTGGGCGTTTGGAAACAGAGCCTGTGCAGAAGAAATCTCGCTCTGGCAAGTCTGGTAAATCGAAAAGGTCTGGTAAGACGAACTGGCCCAGTGAAAAGGATGATCGCAAGGATGTTGCGCACAAGCGCTGTCGGTCACCGGGGAAGGACATGGCAACGCAGACGCCCATATGGATACGCAAGGTGTGCGAGCGTTATGGGAAAGAGGACCGTTTCTCAAACCGGAGAACCAGGTGTTGTCTGTCAAATGTTGTAATTGCAGTAATTGCATGTCTGCAGGATTTGGTGGCCTTCGCTGATGAAGAAGTCTGTTTTTGCCTCAGTAGTGAAATCTCTGCTTACACATGTTTTACAATTTCCCCCAATTATTCAGGTGATCAACATGGATACCT